GATAATTACTTTGCTTGAAGGCTCAGGCATCTGCCTCCGGCTTAATAGAGCGAAGTCAGCACGCACGGCGTTTTACATGGCGTTCCCATAGCGTAAGCTATTACGCAATAGGAGGAACCTCTCGAAAGGGAACGACTCGGTTAACGTAACCTCGGTTCCCTGAGAGGAGGGAACAAATATTGCGTAATCTGCCGTGCTTGTGCTTGGTCAGTTTGCTTCAGTCGATTGAACCTAAAGAACTCAGACGACGGGGCGCCCAATATATAGCCCTTGGCCACGCCCATCTTGGCGGGCTCTGACGCGCGTGGGCGCGAAGCACGCTCATTGGAAGCGGGTTCAGAGTCGCCCCGTCATAGGTTCGTGCAGTTGCCGCAGCACAGCCAATGACCGAGCTGCCTTGCCCATTGCTGTATGCTGTGCAGCTGCAATGCGTTTTACATAAAGACTTCAATATTTCTCGAGAAAAGGAGTTTTCCCATAGCGTAAGCTATTACGCAATACTCGTTCCCTCCTCTCAGGGAACCGAGGTTACGTTAGTAACCGAGTCGTTTTCTTGTAAAATGTACTCAAATCTTGGTTTTACTTTGAACATGATATGATGGTGTGGAACACAATTTCTCCATTTGTGTTAAATGGTAGAAATAAGCACAGTAAAATAAAGATTATAAAATGACGTTTACTGTGATAAACTTCAGGATTAACCATGCTGTAAAATAACTGGAAAATGCTAGCCCATCATGATACTGTCTGTTTAGTGTCCTCTAAACAAACCTAAACAAAGCTTAAAGATATCATGGCTGAAGGTATGTTAGGAAGTGATGAAGTTGGGTGGGAACTTTCCAAAGGCCCTTTAGAATAAGAGGAAGTGTCATAAGTAATACCAGCTGCAAGGCCTGGGTGTGTCAGGTTTCCTCTGAAACAAACAAACCATTTTTAACTTCCTGCCCTGGCCCACCTTCTCCACAATAAGCAGCCCGACAGGATAAAGGAAGGACGGTGTAATACTGTAGTCTACATGAAACACCACCGTTTCAAAGAGAGAGAGAACAGAAATGCACATACTGTACAGATTATTTAAAAGGTCAATACACAAAGAACTCTGACTTTAGGTATGTTTCTTATATATTTTGCAATGATGTAGTTAGTTGACGAATATTACTTTATGTATGTAACCAAAATGTAATAAACATTTGGCTTACATATTGTCGGTATGTGTAGGCCTCTCTTTTATTCCTGGATACATAACAACTGAAGATTAGCCTACTTCAAAAGTATTAGCTTTAGGGTACAAGGTTTTTGGGGTTTCGGTCCATAATTTTCTATACTTTCTCATATTTACTACATATATACCCCAGACAATCTTAAATGTGTCTGTTCTAGAGTTTCTCAACAATGTCTCAAACTGTTTAAAGTCTACAATCAAAAGTCAGAGATTTCACTTGGAACTGCAATGTTGTTCCTCAAATATTTCCTAAACAACAAAAATCTGAGCTGTCTTATACATATAGCTCTATATTTCTGTATGTCGTTGATTGTTACTCTTGTAGTTGCTTGTTCTTCTCTTCTTCTGCCATTGAAGTCAATGGCAGCCCATAGAACTGTATGGTAAAAGGTTGTGAAATTTAGCAGTCTTTAAAAAGGATAGTTCACACAAAAAATTAAACTTCTGTTATCATTTACTCACCCTCAAGTTGTTATATGACCTATATATCTTGAGCTATATGTTATATGACCTATGACCAATATTCATTTGATACATTGCATAAACTGCTTTAGCGTAATGCGTCAACACTTTAACAAATTGCTTCTGAAATAATAACCTGAGGTGTGTTTCCAATTTACAATGTAACTTCTTTTGTTTGTATTGTTAGAGGGATTAACTAGCTATAACTGCTCCCTGAAATCGTGGTTGCACTTCCAGTGTTTAATCCACGTTGGTTCAACAAAATAAGACTATAATTATTGATGTCATGCGGAGGTGGTGGAGTAATAACTTCTGCAAGTTAGTCGATTCTAGATCACAGTTAATGTCAGATTATCATAGTACATCTATGCACAAACAACAAAGTCTTTCAGTTTTTTTTATATAACTTTAACAATTGTATACGCTTTACTCCTTTATACATGCGGTTCATTCAGTCAGCAGCGTTCTCCAATGTGTTTTCTCTGAGATGCTGCTGTAACAAACAAGGCTTTACTTATTTCGTTCCTCGACATTTTACTTTATTTGATGTTTGGTTCATCGCAGGTTCCCTCCCTTTAAAGGCATAGTTCACCCAAAAATGAAAATTGTTTGAAACAACTTGAGGGTGAGAAAATGATGACTGGATTTTTATTTTTGGGTAAACTATCCCTTTAGGCCTGTTCACACCAAAGACGAACTTATACAATAACGATAAAATATAGTTCTAATTGAAAAAATATATATACACTACCGTTCAAAAGTTTGGGGTCGGTACGATTTTAAATACTTTTAAAAGAATTCTCTTCTGCTAACCATGGCTGCGCTTATTTTATTAAAAATACAACAAAAATCAGTTATAGTATGAAATATTATTCCAGTGTAAATCAGCTGTTTTCTGTGTGAATATATAGTAAAGTGTAATTTATTCCTGTGATCAAAGCTGAATTTTCAGCATCACCAGTGTCAGTGTCTTCAGTGTCAAATGATCCTTCACAAATCAGTATAATATGAGGATTTGATGCTCAAGAAACATTTATTATTATTATCAATGTTGAAACAGTTGTTGGTCTGTCAGTTGTACAGATTTTTTTTTTTTTTTTAGGATTCTTTGATGAATAGGAAGTTCAAAAGAACGGCATTTGTTTGAAATAGAATCTTTTGTAACATTATAAATGTCTTTACTGTCCTTGATAAATAAAAGTATTGATTTCTTTCTTCCAAAAAATAAAAATAAAATTCTCACTGACCCCAAACTTTGAACGGTAGTGTATATATATTTTTAAAGTTAAAAATAAATAAAGAATAGCAGAGTCCACATTACTTAACTATAACGATAACCACACTGAGAAGAAACCATATTGTTGGAATCACTTTCAGGGCGTTTTTTTTTTTTTTCTGCTGATGAACAATAAAAACATTGCCAGCCAATCAGAATCCATCCTGCTTTAAAGAACTTGAGCATTTAAAGCAACAGGCAAATAAAAACCGTAGCTCGCTCTTCGAATAAACAGAACGTTATCGTTAACCCCTAATATAGTTATCTTTATAGTTATTGTTCTTGGTGTAAACGGGCATTTACTGCTTTTATTTGTAAATGGATATAACTCTCAAATGGAATGAGATATTTTTGCCAAATTTGATTAAGGACACAGAAAAATAGCAGGGCTATAACAGCAAAACATGAAAACGACCTGAACTAGAGAACTATGAATTCAAAATTGGCATGCAGTGTCTTTATTGGACTTGCTGTCATAGTTCATGATGACAGTTCTCATCTTGAGATATATGGTCTGCATTTTAATGGCAAGGTGTCAAAAAAGATCTGATTACACTTTCTGTCAAAATGGCATGTCCTGTAGGAGAATACTGTACATAGAAAAGGATGAAAAATGGCTGTAAAAATGTTTTCTGTGACTGCCATGTGTGTCATCAAAGTGCTCACAACCAAACCATACACATTTCCCCAGACTCAGAAAAAAGCATTATTATTATTATAGTTTGCACTTCATTTTACAGTATGTGCACTTGCGTGTACTTACAGTGTACTTGCCTAAGAAAGTACTGGGTAATCTTAGGCAACTACATGGGTTTAGGAGTAGGTTCAGGGTTAGTACGTAGTTATTACCCAGTTATTGCAATAACTGGGTAATAACTAGGTACTAACGCTGAACCTACTCCTAAACCCATGTTCCCATGTACATATCTGTACATATGTACATGGGAAACAGGACTGTAAAATAAAGTGCTTATTATTATCATCAGTCCTTAATGCAGCTTTTCCTGCATATTAGTGCGACAGTAATAATAAATGCATTACATATTGCATTTTCACAAACGTTTTGTTGCAGTTTTACAGGTGTAGATATTTTCATTGTTTTACTCAATCATTAAACAATCATTTAAAAGAATAGTTTATCATTTACTCAGCCTCATGCCTCTCTAAACTCATGTCTTTCTTTCTTCTGTGGAACACAAACTGAGATATTTTGAAGAACTTTCATGCTGTTCTTTTATTATTCAATGAAAGCTTACAGTGACTGGGGGGATGTCAAGCTCCAAAAAGGTTAAAAACAACAACAACAATCATACAACATCATAAAAGTCCATATAACTTTGCTATATTCCAAGCCTTCTGATGCCAAAATAGCATTTGTCTGAGGAGGAGACCGAAATTTAAGTAGGTATTCACTGATAAACAGTGCTTAAATCTCATCCATGCTCCATACAGTATGTTGAAACATGCTGCCGTCAGGTTGCAAGACATCATTGGTACTCGTGTCTTTTGATTAATCATATAAATAACTTATGTTACACCGACCAATTTTGCACCCGGAGAAAGAGTTTCTCACACGTGAGACTTATAAAATCCCACCTGTCAGTGCTTGAAGTAGGAACTACCAGTACCTGCACTTCTTCGTCTACAGATTACCAGCAAATTTTCTTGTGCACTTTTATATTATTATTATTTTTATTTATTTATTTATTTTAGCACACAAAGCTATCATGTGGCCTCAGAAGACTTGGAATGTAGCGCAAAAGACATAATTATGTCATTATGTCAGACATACTTTTAATGATATTCATTTTTATCTACGGTGTGCTTTTATCAAATTAATGAAATCAGCACAAACATTCTTCAAAATATCTTAATTTGTGTTTCTTGAAAGACTGAACGTCATAAAGGTTTGGAATGATATGAGGGTGATTAAACAACACCAAAAAAATTACTTTTTTGGGTGATAAATTCTTTCAATAAATTGAGCTTTTTTTGACAAATCTGAATGACCATTGATGAATTTGTCCTGTTTTTGTCTAGTTCCTCACGTCCTGAAGACTTGTGCAGACTTCATCGAGAAACATGGGATTGTGGATGGGATCTACAGACTCTCAGGAATCACATCTAACATTCAAAGACTCAGGTTGGCCAGTTTTTAGACTCACACCTCATGCATACAATTGTGTTGGAACTTGGATGGAGGGAAACCCTTGCAACAATCAATTCTTTGTAGTAAATGTGTGTTTCTCTCTCTCTCTCTGTGTGTGTGTGTGTGCATACAGACAGGAGTTTTGCTCTGAACTCTGTCCTGACCTCACTAAAGAAGTGTATCTTCAGGATATCCACTGCGTTGGCTCTTTATGTAAGCTGTACTTCAGAGAGCTTCCCATCCCTCTCCTCACTTATGAACTCTACAAGAAATTTACAGTAAGTTTGTGAGCAAGAAAAAAAAAAGACTAGAGCAGAATAGAAGAATGATGTAGTTGCATCTGATACAGTGGCTTAGTGTCTTAAATAAACGGTACAAATAAAAAAGTGTTTGTGTACAAGAAGTGACATTTATTTTAAGGACAGCGGATACAGAACTATACAGAGATATAGTACAAAGAGGACGGGGGGAAAGAAAGCAGCCAAAGACAGGAAACGAGGAGACAAATAAATTGAGTTCAGTAATGCAAAGAGGTTATAACTTCAAAAAGTAAAAAAAGCACCCTATAAAGACTACTGAATCATATTTGATATGCCAATTTATCAACAAGATAAAAACGTTGCTGAAAAACTACTACTTCATCAGTTTCTTCTTCTACTTTAACACCCTCTGATTGATAATTCATAATTTTATGAACTACATTTAAATAATCTTTTTGCTGTGAAATCTTGGCTGATTTTTATAAAAATGAATTTAAGAATAACTTTTAAATACAGGTGAAACTCGAAAAATTTGAATATGGTGCAAAAGTTCATTTATGTCAGTAATTCAACTTAAAATGTGAAACTAATATATTATATTGACTCATTACATGCAAAGTGCGATATTTCAAGCCTTTATTTGTTATAATTTTGATGATTATGGCTTACAGCTTATGAAAACCTTATATTCTAATTTTGACTTTGGGGTTTTCATAAGCTGTAAGCTATAATATATATTAGTTTCACCTTTTAAGTTGAATTACTGACATAAATGAACTTTTGCACGATATTCAAATTTTTCGAGTTTCAACTGTAAATAATAGGATATAAGCATTTGATTAGTTTTATCTGGACCACTGCAACTAACTACCATATTTGAAATGATTTTTTAGCTATACAAATACAAGTGATGTCCAGGTGATCCATATTGACAGATGTGTGTCCATTGACAAAAATGAAAAACATTGAAAAACAATGTTCTCCTGCATCCAGGAATTAATGTTCCTCCGTCTGTATTTTTGTGCAAAGGCTGCAATGTCAGTTAAAGAGGAGCAGGAGCAGCTCCGAAACATCAGGAGTGCCATACACGAACTTCCCGTTTCACACTTCAGGTACAGCTCAGGCTTATTTTAATATGTCTGTAAACTTTATCTGTACCGGTATATTTACTCACACGTCATTCTACACCTGTATGTCTTCTCTTCTGTTTGGAACACAAAAGGTGAAAGTTTGAAGAATACCCTCGAGTCTTTTTAATATAATGTAAGTTATTAATAATTGGGACTGTCAAACGACAAAAAAGCATCATAAAATATTTTATTTCTAAAATCTTGACCCTAGTTCTCGTATTGCGACAGAAGATATTCATGAAGCATCTATTCTTTTGACTTAAAGCTCACAAAATCTAAGGTACGGTTTGAGGCACGTTTCCCGTACAATGACTATTATTGCTGTGTATCTTCCATGATGCGTTATTGGACAAATAAACTATAGACACAATTGTTTCTCGAAACCATAGTAACTTTGCCAAACATCAGATGTTCGAACCATGATGGTAAAAAAAACTTGTTAATAACATCTCGCGGGTGGTGGAGTAATAACATCTGCTAAGATTGAATTAATGTCAGATTGTTATTGCTAATTTCATTCCATTGCAATAAAAAAGAGCATAATCTATTTAAAGTGATAGTTCACCCAAAAATGAAAAAAAGAAGAATTTTTTTTTATTCTGCTGAAGACAAAAGAAGATATTCTCAAACAATTGACTTCCAATTTTATTTTATTTTATTTTACTACGGAAGTCAATGAGGTTCTAAACACACAACTTTGCGATGATGTCTACGAATGTTTGCTATAGCGAATAACGATTTAAGTGTCAGACTGTTCATCAGACTAAATTATTTCATTCAATTCAATTTACGTTTATTTGTATAGCGCTTTTCACAATCACAAAAAAGTTATGACTCCTTAATATGACGTCTCTGTAACCACTTTTACGATGCTTTTAAGGTGCTTCCTTTTTGCAAGCTCTATTCATTAGAATTGCTTTGAACAGAGTACATTAGTCCAATTTTCTCCTTTTGTTTTCCACAGGAAAAAAGTAAGTTAGACAGATTTACATAAAATGAAAAATGCAAGATTTTCATTTCCAGGTGAACTGACCCTTGTTGTAAGAAATGACCAAGTCAAAGTGTAATGTAGATGTAAACCTGAAAGGAAATGATTTGACTTTTCAACTACAGGTGACACTCGAACAATTCGAATATCGTGCAAAAGTTCATTTATGTCAGTAATTCAACTTAAAATGTGAACCTAATATATGATATAGACTCATTACATGCAAAGCGCGATATTCCAAGCCTTTATTTGTTATAATTTTGATGATTTTGGCTTACAGCTTATGAAAACCCCAAACTCAAAATTAGAATATTGTGAAAGGTTTTCATAAGCTGTAAGCCAAAATCATCAAAATTATAACAAATAAAGGCTTGGAATATCGCGCTTTGCATGTAATGAGTCTATATAATATATTAGTTTCACATTTTAAGTTGAATTACTGACATAAATGAACTTTTGCACGATATTCAAATTTTTCGAGTTTCACCTGTATGTTACTTGAAATGAAGACATGGTGAGTAATACACATGAAATTAAATCGAATGGCTTTATGGCTGTATTTTGTTCTGCTTTCCTAGAACTCTGGAATACCTCACCAAACATCTGGCACATTTAGCTACCCTCAGTCACCAAACCAACATGCATGCTCGCAATCTTGCCCTGGTGTGGGCTCCGAATCTACTCCGGTGAGTCTGGCAGAGGTTTTACTTTCATTCATACACTAGTTATCCACTCTCTACATAATTCTGTATGAGAGTCATACAATTGGTTATACCACAAATATGTAAAGGGTCCTCAGGGAACTCATAGGAGTATATACAATTATATAATTATCATACTCATGGTATTATTATAGTTGTCTGTTGATGATTGTTGATGATGAATGGGATACGTTCTTCGTGCTACGTGCTAATATTCCTCACAAAGATGGATGATTCATTCCTTATCTTCACTGCAATCCACCAAATAAACATGCTTTTCTAAGTACTCTCGTTTCTTTTGGTCCAGCTCCAAGGAAGTGGAGGTGCCCTCCTGCAATGGTGATATAGCGTTTCAGGAGGTGCGGATCCAGCAGTCAGTTGTAGAGTTCATTCTCAACCACACTCAGCAAATCTTCAACCAGGACCTTCAGCCCTCCAAGTCCAGAGAAGGTACATCTAGCATTAAACTGTTGTAGCATTAGCCTGTCAACTCTCAGTTTGCAGGTAGCGTTTTTTATAATTGCCCTTTCCCCCATCACATATTTTAGTTTTCATTTGGTATCATTCGAAAGCTTCGAAAGCTGTGAAAAACGCTTTGAAATTGGACATCGCCTTAACATTGAAACAGGACTTTAAATCCTTTAGGCGGGCTACATTTTTTGTGATATCAACTTCAAATTTGTAACACAAATTGGTTAGACATATGGCTTTGATTTCCTAGTAATTTTAGGGTACGTTTACATGACAACGGTGTACTAAAAACAGAAACGGTTTTACTTTTTTTTTTTTTTCGTGCAGACGTCAATGTTTTTTTTTTTTCCAATGTGTTTTTTCAACCTTATTCCAAAGCATTCATGAATTACAACCATTTAAGGTCAGATCTATGCTCAAAAAGGGGTGTGACATTTAAAGGCACACTATGCAAGAATTGTACCTTAATATAACAGCTTCAAAGTCATTTCGGTGGTAAACAAACTCATAGTAGGGCGAATCATCCTGGTAGTAAAGCTTGGGGGGAGGGGGACGCTGCTGGAAAAACCAGCAATGCAAGTTTGAGAGGAGCGCCCCCGACAAATCTTTCGAGAATCACAACATGCTTTACGGCAACGACGTCACACACATCAACAACAACATGAAGCACGAAGACACTTACTCATTTAACAGGTTAATGCCCCGTTTACACGAAGGGAAGACGCAGATATTTCCCTGCAGTTTGGCCTCTCATTTACACGAAAACCTTGTTTTTATCACAGAAAACTATTATTTCTAAAAACTCCGGCCAAAGTGGAGATTTCTGATAACACCGGTTATGTCTTGCCGTGTCAACTGGGAGAAACGGGGTTTTAGGTTCTCAAACGTCACATTATGCGCCAGAAAATGCTTAACGTCACGTGAGCGCCCAGTTTGGCATAGTTATGATCATAGATATCCATAATAAAGGCTAGATGTCTCGTCCGCGCTGCTGGCCAATGGAGGTCGAGGTCCGCACCTGGCGGCCATCTTGTCACAGGCAGCTCGCTCACTCGTAACATTGTGTTTTAATGGTGCATGTACTTTTTAAATAGCCATAACTTGCTCAATTTTCTACCGATTTTCAAACGGTTTGGTTTTTTATAAACGTCAGAGATGTAGTTATGACACTGCATACTTATGAATAATAAGTGTATAAATAAATACTCATCCAGAATAATAGCCACGTTAATAACGTTTGTAAGAAACCAAACCGTTTGTAAATCCGTCAAGATTTCAACTAGATAAGAGTATTTGTGTTCGTGCTGATCACTCATCTTACATCAGGCACCACAGAGCCCGCCAGAAAGCTTGCCTGTGACAAGATGGCCGCCGGTGATCACGATAGAGACTCCGCCGTAAGACATCTAGCCTTTATTATGGATATCTATGGTTATGATGGCGCTCGACGGCGTATTTATGCGGGTTGATGTAAATGACAACTTTTTTGAAAACAATATTGTGTGCACGATGTTATTATTGAAAACGGAGGGGGGGAAATATTAGTTTCTCTAAATACCCGGCTATGTGTAAATGTGGCCTAAGTTGTGGGATAACAGGAACAATGTAGTCACAATGAACGGACTATGCACTGTATCTCTAAATAGCTGTGCTGTGAGCAAAGATGCCAGATGTTGTTAGTATATTCATTTAAAAACCTTCATTCAGAAATGAAATGTGTAATTTTTGAATGAGAAGAGAAGCAGTGAGAAGATCTTTTATTTTTTTAATGTAAACCATCTGGGCATATTCTGTAACCATGCTGTGCAAATCAAAACAAAATATACAGTAATTGGAAATTACAGCTCATTAAGGTAATTAGCATACAGTTGTAGTCTATGCTCAGTGGAAAGCCATGCGGTCTCACACAGCTTGTGATAATTTGATCAGGGGACTTGTGCTTGCTTTATCCCATTCTCCTAAAGCTCCTGCATTAGCCTCTGCTTTTCTAATAATACTCCTGTTTAGAAATCTGCCTATGAATGTGCTGACCAGAAATAAACTATGTCATATTAGTATGATTGCAATTAAATTAGCTGAGAACGCGCAACTAATGCACAATACAATTGTACAACTCCCTCTGGGTGTTTGCATACTTTAATAATATCTTCTAAATAAGTTTGACTGTGCTTTTCGTGACAACTGTGATGATAAAGTCAGGAAATGGGTCTTAGATGTGGCGTGGGGTGTATACACAATGGCATGAGATCTGCAGCCAAAAATGGACAAGCAAAACAATAGGCAAGTTGCATATAAAAAAGCAAACAGGTAATGGCTGCAAACAAGCAATTGTGTTTTCATTTGTTGTTTACCGTGTTGAAGGTGTATACAGTTATGTGTTTTGAGTAGATACTGTACATTTTGAGTAGATATTGTATGATGAAAACAGGGTATCGGTAATTAAAGCTAAAAATACTAATAACATGTTTGTTAATTGGAATAAAGCTTAAATAAAATAAAATATTAGAAATAAGTGTAAGTTGAATTACTAAATGTAAATTTTACTTTATTCATTTTAAATAAATTAAACTTAAAATAAATTAAACCTAAATAATATTAATGAAAATGACAAAGGACATTACTAAATTACTATAAATTGAACTAAAAACTACTGAAAATCAAAAGAAAAGCTAATTCAAAATATTAACTCTTTCCCTGCCAGCGTTTTTTTAAAAGTTACTAGCCACCGCCAGCATTTTTGATCACTTCCACAAAACTTTCTTGGCCCCCCGAAATATTTTGTCATATATATTTGTATATATATCTGTTCTGTTTTATTCTAGCTTCATGCATTCTGTTTTTATCAACACTTGAGTGTGGGTAAGTTTCATAAGAAAAGTTTCATCATTTTGAACAAAAAGCTGAGGAAATCATGTTTAAAAACATAAACTTGTTTCTGCTTCTTCTTCACCTGTGTTTTGATCCGGAGATTCAGTACTCTTATAGAAGATGCGTAATAGACTTTTGAAGGCCAAAAAAATGGATAATAAATAGCTTTAAAACCATGTCAGTGGGCATTAGATTATTTTGTCAATACCTGCTCTCTCCTCATCTACATCTTTCTTTTTCTCTCAGTCTCCTAATCCTGCCCCATTTATTCCCCTCCTAAAGCTGAACTTTGACTGATAGTCTTTTCATTTTCGTCTGTGTCAGTGAAGAAAGTAAACATAGGCTTAACTCTGATATATGTTTTATGAATCATTTTCTTAAACAAGTTAATTACTCAAGGCTACCAGGTCAGTATTGCCAATAGGAACCTTCAACAAGCTTTGGAATTTGAATAGGAATTTTAAATAATACAAATTATAGGCTACGTTTAACCAGTGTTGGGGAAAGTTACTTTGAAAAGTAATGCGTTACAATATTGCGTTACTCCCTTTTTTAGAAAAGTAATGTGTTACGTTACTTTTGCGTTACTTTTTATCCACCTGGGCTGGGCTTGTTTTTTTATACCAAAAAAGATGTATTTTTGGGCAAATGTAAAGACCCTTTCACACCAAAAGTGAAATAATAAGCCTCAGACTGAAGGAAATGCAGATTTACTCCTGTACAGTAGAGTACAGTAGTGTTCAGTAGAGGGCGCCGCTCAAACAAACCTTTCAGCTGCTGCTGTTCTGGGTAACAGAAGAAGAGGATGCAGGAGAAACAAATTTAACACTTACTTTACCAATAAAAACATCTAAAAAAATCTATTGTCATTTTTGCTTATGGTTTAACCGAAAAATCGGAGGTCAGAAGCAAGTACTTTGGCCAATAAAGATTAAATGCATAAAAATGTATGTTTTATTTAACATATTTGTATTGGAGGTTTGCATAGTGTTCTGATTCTGCATTTCACTGATTTTATTCATTTTGAGGAATATTGAATCTTTTTTGTGCAAGTGAGATGAGTAAATCCACGCTTACATTTAATCTAGAACTATAATAACCATCATGTTTACACACAACGCCTCTGCACTTCGATTTGTCTCAACATTAGGACAGAAGAGCTGTCAATCAATAAAGGGGAAAACAAAGTAACTTGCGTTACTTATTAGAAAAAGTAACTCAGATATTTTGTTGTAAATTTTAAAAGTAATGCGTTACTTTACTAGTTACTTGAAAAAGTAATCTGATTACGTAACTCAAGTTACTTGTAATGAGTTACCCCCAACACTGCGTTTAACGCAGTTGGTGGAATTGGCAGACGTTCCCTCATCATGCGCTGTGCAAAAGCGTCAAAGCATTCTCAGGTATAATAAATATGCAGCATTAATGCAGGTGATTTTGAACGAATATTTAATGTCGATATACAATGGTTACATAATGTTAAAACTAATCCTGCTATTGATCTCTCTGTAAGACCCTATAGAACAGTGGCTAGGGAAAACAAATGTCAGGCAAAATATCGAACCTAAAACTAACTTTACCGCGCTCAACCACCGTGAGTGCATTTCACGCATTTGTGACCGCTCGCGTTCAGCGGGGAGGAAGGAAGGGAGGGAGGTCGGTCGGCCCATATCGGGACCAACGAGATTCGTTGAGATTAATGAATCTATTTATTTATTAATTTATCTGAGGTGCCGCCTTCCGGACCGTTCCGGCCCACTTTAACCCCTGCACACACACCACACTCTTAAAAATAAAGGTTCCAAAAGGGGTAATGGAAGAACCATTTGGTTCCCAAAAAAACTTTTAGTGAATCGTTCTAAAAAGAACCATTTTTTGAGATGATTTGGCCGCTCATTCCACCTAGTGTCAGTTCAGAAATCCAAAAGTATATTTTTTATTAACTTTGAGAAAGGTTTGTGTATAAATATTCATTCTGTTAAATTTAATGTGGTTCTTTATCTGCATCATTGACTCTATAAAGAACCATTTTATTCCACAAAAGTTTATTTATAGTGGAAAAAGGTTCTTTAGATTATTAACATGTTAAAAAAATAGTTATTTTTAGAACGATTCACTAAAAGGTTTTTTGGGAAGTTGGGAACCAAAATGGCTCTTCTATGACACCTATTTTGGAACCTTTATTTTTAAGAGTGCACTGTATAACATTGAAAAGCCGAAAGATTATGTCTCATAAATGACGTAAAATTCCCAATTGCGGGTAAAGAGGATAATCCACGGCTAGCTGTGCATTAAGCGATTTGAATGCACGATTTGGAGGCAAAGAACCATCGGTGATCAGAGTGCATTTAAATCATTTAATGCACACTGTGGATTATCCCATTAATACCCATTCACCTGTATTGACAAGTTGAAGATGTCACTTATGTATGAAGTGCTAAATTTGACTGGATGGGTTAAACAATGTTTATTTTCATCAGTTACCAATTGTTAGGTCTACCATTCTGTCCACTTTAAATCAGACACAAAGATAAAGTAGTTTAATTTGATTGAATTATAGGCCTAACATTTATTTGAATGAATTAGCCTATAAAGAGAGAGAGAGAGAGAAAGATGCGTGTGAATTACCTCTGTTCATTGTCTCTCTGGAATGAAGCTGTGAGTTGAATTACTTCAAAAACAGCATTGTTACAACCTCCTTGCTGAGTAATATAATGTAGTGAGTGTGCAGCAGCGCAATCAATCTCCACTCTCTGTGTGCGAGTGACGTGTGTGTGTGCACTGCAATCGAGTATTCAGACAGACCATGGTATAATAAAAACTGGGTCCCACTTTATATATTAAGTGGCTTTAAGTTCTATGTACTTACATCGAAAAATAAGTATAATGTACTTATTTTGCTCAGGTTGTATTGTAAAACACTTTTGCTGCTATTGAGGTGTGATACGGGTAAGGTTAGAGACAGGTGTGTGTGGTATGCGTAGGTTTAAGGGTGGGTTAAGGTGTAAGGAGAGGGTCAACAGTGTAATAGGCTTTATGCACAGCTTCACTACTTCCTGAACTTCAGCCAGCCCTTTGTTTCCTGTCTGTCATTATTGGACAAACTGATTAATCCAGGTGTGCCTGATTATTGTTACTGAGGCCAGGCACACCTGGAATAATCAGTTTGTCCAATAATGACAGACAGGAAACAAAGGGCTGGCTGAAGTTCAGGAAGTAGTGAAGCTGTGGCATAAAGCCAATTGCATACATTAATTACAGCTGTAATTACATGCAGGTATTTCTAAATATAAGTACAATGTAAAAGCATGTATTGTATCAAATTATTAATTTCAATGTAAGTACAGGTGAAACTCGAAAAATTTGAATATCGTGCAAAAGTTCATTTATGTCAGTAATTCAACTTAAAATGTGAACCTAATATATTATATAGACTCATTACATGCAAAGTGAGATATTTCAAGCCTTTATTTGTTATAATTTTGATGATTATGACTTACACCTTATGAAAACCCCAAATTCAAAATTAGAATATTGTGAAAAAGTTTTCATAAGCTGTAAGCCATAATCATCAAAATTATAACAAATAAAGGCTTGAAATATCTCACTTTGCATGTAATGAGTCTATATAATATATTAGTTTCACCTTTTAAGTTGAATTACTGACATAAATGAACTTTTGCACGATATTCTAATTTTTCGAGTTTCACCTGTACATAGTACTTAAAGCCACTTCATATAAAGTGGGACCAAAAACTGTAATATACATAATACTAAAATAATACTGGATGAAAATACATTTTAAATGACATGCATGCAGCCATGACTTGATGATCTATAATACAGTTATAGATTTCATTTCATTTCATTTTATTAGAGGATAACCCCTTGAGATGGAACATCTCATTTTCGAAGGGGTCCTCAAGATAACACCAAACACTTACACATTCGCACATACTAAAGCTCTTCCTCACAACCAACCACCCCAACCTGTCCCACCTCTGTCCAAAGCATTTTCACATAAACAATATAGTATGACATTAAGATATTACAGGAGAGAACCATATTTGACGAAACCACAAAAACAAACAAATATAACCTACATATACATACCAATACAAAAATGCATACCTATATACACATATGCATACAAACATATGCATATATTATAGATAAAGAATACAATAGTTTTTTTTACTCTCAAGACATGCTACATGCAACTGTTTTTTATGGTTTTGTAGGCCCTAGCATGACCTGTGGGGAGAAGTACGCCACCTTGCCCGCCAGCACACAGTGCGGTCCCATGAAGCTCATGAGTCTTGAGGAAGCACAGGCTCGCTCTCTCAGTCCCAACCATCCAGCAATGAGAGAGAGGCAAAGAGAGAACAGCCTTCCAGATACCAGCACTGCGGCAATGTATCATACAGTAATAGATCTGTCTGACAGCAGGTATGATGCATACCATACATGTATGCTCGCCTACACACTCTCCTAGCATGTGTACTTTAGGTTTAAACATTAACAGCGTTGAAACTGTATAGGCATACATGAACTGTCACCGTTTACAGTAACCCAGTAATGCTTTTTAAAACCCAGAGAACAGCACTTGTTAAACATTTCTACATTTGAACAATTTCCATTACATTCTCAAACATTCATAAACCTTCTCACAACACAGAAGAAAATTCTCAGGAAAATCTAAGAAGTGGAAGTCCATCTTCAGTCTCGGACGATCGGTCATCGACTCCAAAGGGAAACTGAGTCGCAATGGGAGTGTCTTTATGAGAGGCCAAAATTCCTCAGGTAAGAAAGAAAAAGAAAGAAACATCCAAAAAAAACAATAACAAAGATAAAAATGGGAAGCTCTTTGTTCAGTTTGACTAAAAGCAAATAACACGTCAATTGAAAAAAAAAAAAAGTTATATTTTTTATTTAAGAATAGTTATAATAATTATTAGCCTAATAAAAATAGTTCATTTTTAAATAGTATTTTTGCCTGATGTATACAGACGTGTTGATATGCAGAACACATACTGGCTTGCTTTACTGACTGCAGAGATTATTGTGGGTTTTATATTAGTACATAACAAAAATATGCATATTTTAAAACGACAGCACAATAAACATTAAAGTCGGCATGAAATGGAAGTTGTGATCGTCTTTTCTTCCCTATTGTGAGTATCGTTTGAATTCGAGCAACTCTAATTAGGTATAAAAAAAATTTGAAGTAAAACATTTAGATATCAGTCATATTTAATCTGTGCCGTTATGCGAAACACTCTGTTGCAGCTGAATACTATAAACATCAGCCGCCTGAACACATTCCTCAAAGGAAGCAATGGCACAGATTAATACAACTTTATAGATGAATACAAAGTTCAGGTACAGAAATTGAAATCAAATGTAAAATTACACTTCATAGATTTATTTTCATAAATAAAATATAAATCAATCCTTGTTAAAGTTGTAAAACTTATTCAGTCAAGATCAGTGGGTAATTTTCATTTTCTTTAGTTCTTTGTTTAACGTTATTGACACAGATGACATCAGGTATATTAGGCTGCTGTCACTTTAAGAGCTGGACAGATCCAATATACAGTTATCAACTGTTTACATTCACTTAAGCCATAACCAACTGTTCTTATTAGGATATTTTGACATTATGTTGTGTGTATTTGCCCGTTCAAGTGCAAGAAGATACGAAAGAGAATTCAGTATTCATGCACTATATGAGAGGCTGCTTTTTGCGCGTCCTCTCTGGATCTGTGTGTGGCTGTGCGCACAGAAAACAGCATGAGTGCTGAGCTGAGTTTTCTTTCGAAACTTCTTTTGGTTTAAAATGGTTTGTGCGTGTTCTCTTGAATCCACAGTTCTTGCAAATTTTGCTCCGGTGTTCTGATGATTTGTGCTACCCGCTCAGATTGTGCAAAACAGGATTGCACAATTCGACAGGGAAAAATGCTATCTATCAGATTGTGCTACCAACATCATATTCATGTGGTTCTAGGCTTTATCTTTCACCCCTACCCTAAACCTACCCTTAAAATAATGCAAATACAGTGTTGGTAGCACAATATTATAGGTAGCATTATTTGCCAGAACACCTGTTGTCGTACCCAACCTTACTTGTGACACGGCTTCTCGATGAAGATAAAATGTAGGGCGGGACTTGATTTTGTCTATTGGGAATTGATTGGATGGTTGTGGTTTGCTATTGGGTCGATCTCATGTGAGTGACAGGTTACCCCTGCCCTCAAAATTATATTTTCGTATCGTAGCTAATTTAGCTTTTGTTTATGGTAAAATTAAGTTGTAAAAAGCCAAAAACATTATATGTTTTAATGCTTGTTTCCTCTCTTAAACAGAAAAAACTGCTATACGGCCATCCAAAAGCATGGATTCTCTCTGTTCTTTTCCAGCAGCAGGTGGGGCTAGATCTCCATAAATATACTTACCTCAGTGTGCTGTCATTGTGCCTTTTATTTTTGCTTAAAACATTTCAACAAAAGGTTTGAAACAGAGACATATAATATGAATAAATATACAAATATATTAGATATTTAAAAGTTAGTAATTCATTCACTACTTTAATTAAAGGGCTAGTTCACCCAAAAATGAAAATTCTGTCAGTAATTACTCACCCTCATGTTGTTCCAACCCCGTAAGACTTTCGTTCATCTTCGGAACACAAATTAAGATATTTTTGATTAAGTCTGAGAGCTGGATCACTCCTCTATAGGCTTCTTAAGGGATCGAAACTGGCCGGCCCAAAAGTTATTAAAGACATCGTTAAAATAGTCCGAGTGACTACAGTGGCTCAACCTTAAGTTTATCAACTTGCCCACAGGGAAGAAAATGAATAGTTGAATAAAGTCATTATTTTTGTTTGTTTTTTGCGCACAAAGTATTCTCGTCGCTTGATAAACGTAAGATTGAGCCACTGTAGTCACTCGGACTATTTTAACGATGTCTTTCATAACTTTTGGGCCAGCCAATCCCTTAAGAAGCCTATGGAGGAGTGAGACAGCTCTCAGATTTAATCAAAAATATCGTAATTTGTGTTCCGAAGTCTTACGGGGTTGGAACAACATGAGGGAGAGTAATTACTGACAGAATTTTCATTTTTGGGTGAACTAGCCCTTTAAGGTGTCAGTGTGGCACATGGTCTATAAGCAAATTATGAAGTATTATATTACAGAATAGGCTCATGGCAGGTTTATATCTCAAAGAAGGCTTTTTATCTGTTTATTAGTCTGTGTATGACTGAAATATAAAAAGTTAAAACCAACTGGTTTGGTTTCAAGTGGATGTATTTGATGGAAGGCCTATAACATTAACTAAGGTCATGCTTCCTTTGACAAACAGTGTAAGTTTAATGCTTTATTTAATTAATTCTAATAAACAAAATTGGTTTGATATTGTGTTATGTCATACAAACATTTTTAAGTGTGGCTGAAGTGTGAAAATGCTTTTTGGGACTGCTGTATATTTGTGGCTTTCAGGTATCACCATCAGTTTTCTCTTTTTCAATCTCACTCAGATGAGGACAAAGTACCAACAGAAGGAAGCAATGGCATCTTCGTCCCAGTTCTTAAATCCCGGACCCTGGGCTCAGATATCGACTACAACCCGAACAAAAAAGATCAAAATTCGGACTTAGATCCTCATAATGCTTCAGGAGGATGTCTGAGTGAGAAAAGAGAAGGAGCATCAAATGCCTCTTCTTCATCACCATCTTTATCCCCACTGCAGAAAACTCTTCCAGAACAGCTGAAAGTTTTCAAAGGTGACGACCGCGGCGGCTGCCAGCCCACATCTCCTAAAAACCGTCGGATGTTGTATTCTGGATCTGCCAATAATGGATCATCTAGACCGTCTTTTCCAGGCAGCCTGTTTCCGCTGGAGTCTTCACCGCGGCACCAGCGGAAGGCCCTCAACATCTCGGAGCCGTTTGCAGTGTCTGTACCTTTACGCGTGTCTGCGGTTATTAACTCTAACAGCACCCCCTGCAGGGCACCTGGCAAAGAACGGGACAAGGGTTTAGGGGGACTCTTTAAGCCTCCAAAGGAGGCCGGACCTCTGGAAGCCCATCGGAGGGAAAGTATTGGCACTGCTGGATTCCCTGTCCACATCAGTGGCAGCAGTGGGAACTTTACGTTCACAGACTGGGAGACTGGACTAGCCGCTCACACCAACAGTACTGGGTACCGAGAGCACCCGCTCAGTGACAGCAGTGGAGGCAGCGGATGCAGTATCTATAGCAACAGCAGCTCTTTCCCCATGGAGAAAGAGGATCAGACAGGGGAAAGAGATATTACAGATCCCATCACTCTGGGGACAACAAAGAGTATGACGATTGTAGTGTGTGTGTGTGTGTGTGTGTGGTTCAGCTATTCCCTGCATTATGCAGACAAAATATAAAAAAATTTGGTCCCCATGAGGAAAACAGATTATAAATCATACTAAATGTCGTTTTTTGAAAATGTAAAAATGCAGAAAGTTTTCTGTGATGGCGTAGGTTTAGGGCTAGGGTTAATGTAAGGGGAGAGAATATACAAGTTGTAAAGTATAAAAATCATTATGTCTATGGAAAGTCCCCTTAAAACATGAAAACACGACGTGTGTGTGTGTGTGTGTGTGTGTGTGAATATAAGTGTATTTTAATTGAGTGAGAATCATTTTAAATCTGCATTTGTAAGTTGATTAATTACATTTTAATATAGATTAAAAACAAAAAACAAAAAAAAGTTAAACACTGACATACTCTTTTACTCTTTCATTATCATATACACTGCCCGGCCAAAAAAGAAAAAAAAGGGTCGCTGTTCGAATTTTACTAGGCAAATTCATAAGAGTCTATGATTGGATCATTATTGCAGTGATTATTCTAGCATGTTATATGTTTGGAAACAGTTCTTCTTCTAACCCTAATTGATGGAGAGTGTAGCTTTTCATATACAGTAGGAAGACACATCATGGCCATATTCCAGGATGACAATGTCAAGATTCATCAGGCTCAAACTGTGAAAGAATGGTTGGGAGGGAGTTTGAAGAATAATTTTCACACATGAATCGGCTCCTCTGAGTCCAGACCTTAAATTCATTGAAAGTCTTTGGGATGTGCTGGAGGAGACTTTACAGAGTGATGAACTCTTGCATTCACAATACAAGATCTTGACCAAAAATGTATGCATCTCTTGATGGAAATAACATCACAACATTCATTTCCATCAAGAGGTGCATCAATTTGTAGTTTCTTTTACCTTTTTTTTTTTGGCCGGGCAGTGTATTATCAGATTTATTGAGCAGTTAGATGAAGTAGAAAATAATTCAGATCTATATTTTTTTAAGCAATAACTTAAAGGTGAAATGTGTCGTTCTACTAAAAGTGCAACATCTGTAGGTTGTAAACGCTGTGGTGCTTTCGAACATTGCCTTGTTTTGAAACCCGACCAGAACAGCAAGACTCAACCAATGTTGTGTGTTTGGGCTAGACTGTCGGATATTTAATGGCTGATGAGGGAAGTAATTGGCAATCACATTATTTTTGCAATTCTGTTTGGTTATGCTAATGCCGCAGAAATGACACACTGCACCTTTAACTCTACTACTCTAACTGATTATCTGTGCTTTCTCAGGAAATGATACAGAAGTGAGAGAGCTGATAGCCAGTGTGGAGAATTTTGAACCTCAGGTGTCATCTGAGACTAAAGCAATAGGGGAAGAACTGGAAACTACATCAACACAACAAGAAATAACAAAATTGGACAAACTGGTATGATTTGAATTGATAAAACATCAATTAAACAGAATTAAATGTACCCCTGTAGTTTTTAATAAGATTGAAGTACTACTAGTATATAAGAAGACCAAATAATTTTACTGTAAAACTAGCCAAGATGAAAAGATAATAGTGGTATATATTTCTATTCTTTTCTATTTTATTCGGTTCCAGTTTATTCTGTTCTATTCTTATTCACTTAATTCCTAAATTATATTTAGGTCATAATTTATGTATTAAAAAAGTTTAAAGGGTTAGTTCACCTCAAAATGAAAATTCTGTCACCATTTACTCACCCTCATGTCGCTTCAAACCTATAAGACTTTCGGTCAACATTCGTTCAACTTAAATGAATATATTTTTAATGAAACCTGAGAGATTTCTGTCCTTCCATTGTAAGTCTAAGTAACCAAAACTTTGATGCTTCAAAGAGTTCATTAAGACATTCTAAACGTACTGTGTGAATCAGGCGGTTTAACCCTTAAAGTCTTCTGAAGAGACACAATGGCTTTATATGATGAACAGATTTAATTTAGGCTTTTATTCACATATAAACATTGATCAGTGAATGTACATAAAGCACTCAAATATGGTAAATGGAAGCTGAAGAATGTTTGCGTTACGTGTTAGAACCAATGAGGTTTGATCTTGATGTGCATCAATCGAGTACGATTGAGCTTTCATTTTCCATATTTGAGTGCTTTATGTATGTTTGTTTATATGTAAATAACAAATTAAATCTGTCAGTTCATCATATAAAGCAATCGTGTCTTTTCAAAAGACTGCGCAATTCAAATGGATTACATTTACAATTCTTATGAAATTTTGAACTGTCAAAGTTTTGGTGACAGTATCTTCTTCATTTGTGTTCCAAAGATAAACAAACGTTTTATAGGTTTGGAAGTACATAATGACATGATAAATGATAATAGATTTGATTTTTTTAAGTGAAGTAACCCTTTAAGCCCACTGTCTTAGAAAGATATAATTGTGGCTTCATAAATACTACTGGAACAAATGCCTCTAACCAGTCCTCACCTTTTTTTCTTATTTTTGTTTCTTTGTGCTTGACAGGAAGTACTCAACGAGGTGTCATCGTCTGACGTGCATCAGAAAGTTTTAGTCACCGAGGCTAAAACAAATATGCTAGATGAACAAGTGAAGTCCAGCTTCACCAAAATGACTGGAAACGAGGACAGTCTCAAGCTAAGTGGTCAAACACGGAGAAGAAGTAGTTTGCCCACAAATACTGCATCATCAAAGGGACTCTTTATAGACCTTACCAAAAACGTAATGTTTGATCATCCTGGTGCTACTACGTTTAATTCTGTCATGAAGCATTTGCCTGAAAGATTGTTGTCATGTGATGGTGGCTGGAATTACTTGGATAATAATGTTGACAGGACAGACCACAAGAGACTAGAGTCACAAAACATAATAACAACCAGTCTACAACTTTCCCCATTTCTCCACCTAAAGGAAACAGATATTCTCCAAGATGCAGAGCCATGCAGTGAAGAGGAACTAAGAACAGATCCTGTCGAGAAAGACAACACTTCCAAAAGTGACTTGAGAGATCATTCAAGCAGTTATGTAAAATCAGACATTCAGACTGCTCTTCACTCTGACACAAAAGAATCATTAGTAACAAAGAATATTTGTGAAAAAGGAAATAAGGAGGTTATTGATGAACCCAGGAAACTTGACTTAGCAGGAAGAATCAAGGGAAGTTTAGAAAGACTCTCAACTTGTCTGAACGAACAGCATTTCACATTGGAAATTTTGCACCAAGATGACGTAGACACATGGGGAGGTAATTTGGATCAGGTTGAACCATGGGAAGACTTGTGTTCTGCCAAGCAGTGGGTGACAAGCCCTCTCCACTCCCCAACACTTGAGGATCTCTTACCTATGCCAAAAGAGACTATGCCATGTCATGCAATTCACAGCCAAATTCTTGATAAGCCAAAAGTGGACGAGTTGCCCAACAGCAAGAAGGATGAAGCTAAAGAACCAACTGTGCTTATTGACATTACATCATCTCAAACAGAGGCTGCTCTAACATCCTGTAAACTTGTAAACCCAACGGGAAACAAAAATGCAGACACAGATGTAGCTTGCTCTGCACAGGTAACAGCGCATTTTGATAACCGCAAGTGGATGGGAGACAAAGATGACAAACTTGAGGTTCCACAGGTCAAGATATTGAAGACATTAACTGATTCAGACGAGACCACTGAACTGCAAGACTTGAGCAAAGCAAAACAGAAGCGCTCTTCTCCCTCTCAGAGATTTCACCGACAGACATCCCACGAGTTCTGCATTGTGGAGAGAAGTCAAGAAAACATTAAACCTAAACTCAGGCCATGCTCCCTAAACCTTGATTTAGGACACCAAGGTTTCCGAGACATCTCAAATAGTCAGTATCTGAAAGGTGCAAAGCAATCAATTGCACAGGAATGGGTGACACATGAAGCCAAGCATGGAAGCACATCTCTAGAGTTGGAGCTATTCCTGAGTGGCTCCAAGGCACCTATGCGACGCAACTCTGCACCAGTCAGCGTGTCATCAGTTCGCACTGCATTCATGATCAAAACCTGCCAAGCAAAAGCTGTTCCTGTTATTCCACCAAAGGTTCAGTACAGCCACATACCTCATGCCCTACTTGAGGGGAGCACTGATCAAGTCAGTAAGAGTACACCTGAAAAGAAACCTGCCAAGAGCAAGTTGGGAAAAGCAGGTTCTGCACTTCCCCTCCAGAAAGTCAAAGACCACAGGGAGGAGCTGCCAAGCAGTGAACCACCATCAGGGGTTCATAGACAGAAGCCCACGAACAATGCGACATGCAATGAGAATTTCAAACCAACATCCATTCCCGATCTTCCAGTGTTGAGAAGGAAGCGATCTGCAAATGGGGACACCTTTATGGATCGTCCTAGACCTGATCGCTCAACTCTTCTTCAGAGATCGTCCTTTAGAAATCGCCCAAGACCTCAAAGTCTCATCCTGTTTAGCCCCCCTTTTCCAATCATGGACTACCCTCCGGTAGGGCAAGATGGTAAACTAGTCCTGTCTCCCATTAAAGCTGAAGCCTCACCGTTTGACGTCTATGCAAAAGAACTAGCTGAAAACCTCAAAACTCCTGAGGGGGTAACCTTGCGTAATAAAATGACTTTGCCAAAGAGTGGACAAAGGCTTGAGACCTCAACCAGTTGCTTTTACCAGCCACAAAGGAGGTCAATGATATTTGACAACAGAAGTAATAGGCAAATTGAGTGAGAAAAGACTGACTTGTTACTGGCCATCATGTGATAACTAGCAAACTTCCAGCTTATCAAATGTGCCCCAGTCTCAGTATACCCTATAGATGTTTGGAAATCAAGGTGCCGTTAATCTTGATAATCAGAATTGTAAGTATTAAGCTTTGTGTAAAATGATGCTGCTGCTAAGGATTTATATCAGAGATTTTTTTTCTATCTTTGCAAGAAAAACTGAAACATGCTTAAGGATAAACCTGGGAAACTTAGCATGCTCCTACTGTATATGTAAATACAAATTGTACAAGCACATCTCAGTTTAAATCGACTCAATTCCCTTCCTGTGGAGCTGAAGGTCTTTGTGTCTGTTGTTACTTTATCATGATTGGATCATATTATGTTTACAGTTGGAGCATTTATAAATTATCTACATGATGAAATTAGGTGTTCAACATGCCAGCCAATGAGAAAATAAAACTGTTAAAATACTTGACAAAACATCAACAAAAAAACAAACATTTATTTATTCAATAATCTTGTTTTGCCATACAAAACTGTACTCTAAAGAGTAAAAATCACTTTGTACAAATTTTTGGGGTAAAAGTCCAATGATTTGAAGATAAATGTTAAAAGGTCAATGTTCTTGAATAATTCAAACATTGCCTCTAGCTGTGTTCTCTTCTCTAGTGGATATAGTAGATGCAGTTTTTTAATATTTTCAAATCTCCTGATTACTTGGTTAACTGATATGTATGAAACAAATATGGTGAGTTTTCAAAAAATAAGATTATAAAGAAACTGTCCGAATTTTATATAAACCATAGAGCAAAGAAGTTTTGGTTCAAGTATGAGAGGAAGTTTAAGGACGAGAGATCATGATGGTGATGTTGTCAGTTATTGTAACCAAAGAACACTAACCTTGTAATATGTTCTTTTTGTATTCAGTCACATTGGATATTGTATGTATTCCATTCTAAACAAAATAATAAAAGTACTTCACATGTAATGTGTACACTGTGACATACACTTAAGCGTTTCCATGCCATATTTCTATTTGCATATTTATAATGTAAGGGAACGCAGATCTTAAATATATATATATATATATATATATATATAAGATCTGCGTTCCCTTACATTATAATATATATATATATATATATATTACACACACACACATACAAGGGAATGGGGTAAGTTTTGCCACTTACCTGCAGTTGTCTTCTGCAGCTGGCAAATATGAATGATAAAAAATAGAAGCAAATCACGTATTCAGGATGTGTGCAAAAATGGAAAAGTAAACCCTACATAAATGGTACAATAAAGTGGTTCAGGGACACAATTTGCTTCATGCTATAGGGGTAAGCTGTGTCATGTCAAAGGTAAGTTGAATCACTGTGGAATATAGGAACAATTTACATTTTAAATAAAACAATGGCCATAGTGTATAAGAACAAGAATCACATTCCAAAGTCTTATGTTGCAGAATAATATTCAGTTTCATAAACCAGCCAGGGAACGCTTTAATATTCATAATATTTGAATACAGTGAAACAATTTACAATATTATATATATATGTAAAATGTAAAGCTAGCTACCCTTTAGAAAATGATTAATTTTCAGAACTGGTAAAGCATCGATATAAAACCTAATAATTATGCAATGTTATTACTTCACTAATAAATTCTTATAACATCATGTGAGGGTTTAAATGCATCTTATTCTACTCTCGTTTACTCATTACAAACATATTAGAGTTGTGTTTAAAAAATACACAATAAATGCAAATAGACAATGTAACTGTCAACTTATTTTGACATTTATTTTCTTTTAAAAATGAAGAGAACGCATGTAATAAACCAGTCTTGAAACACAAGATGTTGCTTCAGAGTAAATGTAAATAACTATAGAAATACACTGTAAGAAGAGCAAACTATAAACAAAGACTTCCTTCATTTATGCAGCTAAAATACATCATGGAAATTTGAGTACAGAGCAAAAGCCAGCTTGTGCCTGGCTTACAATGTTATGGAGAATACTTGTAAAATGTATAAACTTAGAAGTTGCTCTATCTTATAAAATGTATTTTTTTCAGATTACAATAACAATCTGAGAATTGTGAGTGATAATGTCAGCATACAAATCAATCCATTCTGTGACTCGATATCCAGAGAAAGCATGTCAGTAATTACTTTTTTTTATATATATATTGAGATATTTAAAAATGTAGGTCACTCACAAACTTGATAAATTTGTAAGACAGTTGCTTGGAAACAACAACAATGCAGAGTCACTGAATGACCTGCAGCAACCAACACACCTCACTTAAAGAAATAAATAAATAAAAGTATAAACATGCATTAAATTCCTTGCAAAGCCATAGTTACTTTGCTTTTGAATTCATTATGATTTGACAAATGTATTGCTTGATTCATCACGGATTTTGATCTTCATTTGCACCTGCAAAAGTTTTTGTAAAGTCAGTTGTGACCGATGGTTCACAGCTATTCAAAAATGTCACTTTTTATTATTAAATATAATCCATAAAATGAAAAAGGTACATTTAAATCATGTTTACAAGGCCAAGTTAAATAGGCTAAATTGCCTGAACAGTGACAATATGCAATATATTTAACAAACTCTTTCTCTTAAATAAGACCGCATATATTGTACACACACACACACACACACACAGAGAGAGAGAGAGAGCTATCTAAATGGGGAAATTCCATAGATGTAATGGTTTTTATACTGTAAAAATTGTATATTCTCTCCCCATACACTAACTCTACCCCTAAACCAACCTATCACACAAACCTTTCTGAATTTTTACATTTTCAAAAAAAAATTATTTACTTTATTTTTATTCCAGATACACGAGGACGTACCTAAAGGGAGGTTTTTGGTCATTTCTGGGAACAAATTTGTCCCCAAAATATAGTTAAGTAGGTGTACACACACACACACACACACACCAGGCACAGTATCTCCAATAGATTAGGGTCTATCCTTCTTAAATATACTGTCATCAATCATTCTAGAAAGACTCAAATCAGTCAAGATTCTGGATATTGTCTGAAACAAATATACCGGTATATATATATATACGTGTATATATATATATATTATATATATATATATATATATAAACATGTAAACTGAAGGAAAGTAAAAAAAAAATACCTGTTCTAACATGAACTGAAGTGGATCATCTGGTCTATCAAAAACCAGTTTCTCTGTGATGTCCTGAAATAGCACAAATGAAATTGAGTGAAAAACACAAAACAATTATGCTTGTCTTGGAAGTCTCAATCATCAAAAGGTGCCTTCTGCTGCTAAAATGACATTGGTAGTTAGTAAGGGCTCTTTTAATGCTGTAGAACTTATGAAGCAATATGTAGTAGTTTCATTATGCAATAATTATGAAATAATGCAATCTTTTAACCCCTTCAGAACCTGTTTTTTTTTTTAAACCAATACAATTTATGTTTTTATAATATGAGCAATCCTGGCCTCTTATTGGTCTCTGAACAATCAATCACAAAGAAGATTTGACCCCATGCTTTTTTTTAAGTTTAATGTACATCGCAAAGGACATCAGGTGTTATCTGCTGGAACCTCAAGAATTAGTTGTGTGCCAGGTGTGAAATTTGTGCAAGCCTTTCAAAGCTAAAATAAAGAACTACAAATTATATGTTAATGCATTAATGTTAATTAATTAAATATTATTAATATGACTTTATGTCTTCAAAGTGACCATAAACTGTCCATCAACTTTTCATTGGTTTTAGTGAGAAACAGCCACAGATGAATGACTACACAGCAACACACACACCCTCCACACACTGATGCCTTGATGCTATATATAATGCACACAATATATTCATCAAAACAACCAGCAAGTACACATAAACACACCCACATACACACAAAGACATATATACTCAGATTCACCCACTGCAACCAACAAAAATATAGTTTTTATTGAGACTTTATATCATCATACTTTTTTTTTCTACGTTCTTAACTTATGTGTTATTTTCAAAATCTTCAACCACTAACGTTAGTTAACAAACTCTAGTTCATAAGTATGGTTAAAATATGAGGATTTCTATGTTGATTTAGTCGTGGTGTCCATGTAAAAAAATCTAATAAAAAAATTAGTTGGCAAGAATTTTTTTTTTTTTTAGATTAATTTCTTCCTTGAAGAATAACGTTAGCATATTTCAAATAAAAAGCTCAGTGGGAAAAAAAAAATCAGGTCTGAAGGGGTTAACATAACTAAATTTTTTAACATAGCGAACCGTTTTACTTGTTAGTTCTGTTAGAGCTCTGAATTGTGCTTCGCCATTTTGTGCTAAGCCATTCATCACTGTCTACCATTTTCTTCGTAAGAAAATATATCAGTAGCTGCAGCTTTGTTCTTTCTCACCTGAAAAATCTGAAGAATATTATGAGTCTCCATATAGTTAACAGAGCGTTCGTAAGGGTCCGTGAACACTGACGAGGAGCCACGAATGCTCTCCGCACTCTCGGTGATAAGCAGTTTTTCTGATAGAACAGAATCTGCCATCCCACAAAGTCTATGCTAATGTAGTCAACTAAAAACGATATATATACAAAAAGTAAGTTGCGAAGAGTACTTCCGAGTAGCATTATAACTCAAATAGTTAGCGTTCGCTCTTTAAGAAAGGATATCAGATGCATTACCTCAGTTTAGAACAAAAATACAACTTTTTGTCTTTAGTCCGTTTTATGCAAATAGAGAAATGAGACCGCGTATCTCGAGCAGGACGGTTGGAAATGTCACCCTGTAACCCCTAGCAACTGTAAACAAAAGGCTTGCATGATGTCATTGGGCACAGTTCCCCGGGACATCGCCTTTGATTCGTGAGGAGTCTAGAAAAGGGTTATTAAAAAAGCAAAAAAACTGTGTTCGTACGGTCGAAATATTACTTTTGCAGTTGATGCCAATTTTACGATCTATTTTTGGATAAGAAACTACCTCAGAAGACCTCGGGCTAACGTTTACAATACGACTGACAAAGGGAAGGAGGGGCTAAACTGCTGTTTCTAGGTTGCTAGTCGTCCTCAGCTGACACTTCGGCCTACAATGGGTGCATTTTATGTAGGGCAGACGGTGTGCGTGTCCCCCGGTGAACCTCTCGGCGGAACATTGCTGTTCGTGTTTATAACCGAAAGGGGGAACTCGATATCAAGAAAAGCTTTCAAGCAACGGAAACCTCCTACTAAGCGGAATAATATGGAGGAGAGGGATTGTTACATGTGACGAAATACTTACGTGAGCCAAGGTCGAGCAGCTTTTATCAAATTAATATACAGAAGATATATAAGTATCGGTTTATAATATGCCTCTTTTGACGTTTGACATCACAAAACCTGGGACGTCGCCTAAGTTATATCGCTGCCAATATCCCGACATAATATTCATGTTAATTACTGTTCACTGCTATCATAACACTAAGACAGGATCAGTCGTTCAAAGGATTGTATTCTGCTATATATATATATATATATATATATATATATATATATATATATATATATATATATATATATAAAATAGCGCATGAAAAAAATCACTTAGGCTTGAAGGTTGATTATTCCTCGTCTAGACTACAGTCGACCGCGCGCGCGCGCGCACACGCACACACCTGTCATTGTCTAGACTGGGGGGTGTCGGGGGAGGGGGGGGCTCGTGAACCACTATTGCATTATTTTGTGTCTGTCACAACGACTCTGTGAACGTATTGGGGAACAAAAAAGTTCGGTGTCACTTTTCACGATCTGATTGGCCCTCAATACCGTCAGCAACTCTCCTTACGTTTCCTTGAGGTCAGCTAGGGACGTTAAAAAATAAATAAATGAGAAAATAGAAATGCGTAGAAAGTAAAAGGCACGGGGTGAACAATCTAGCTTGTTGGTCTTCAAACTGACGGGCAGCGTCATCATCCAATGTGGGACCAGATGTAATTTGGATACATTTATTGACACTGTCTCTAACCAATCGAAAGTAGGCTATCTATAAATGATCAACATGAGGGGTTCTCGGATGACTGGCCTTTTGATCGAGGATGGGACATGGATTTCAGGGAGTTTCATTCGCGCCAAATAACAGTAATTTCGTGGTAACGTATGCATTTCTTTATGCTCAAGAATCAAGCAGAAACTCCTCAAAAAAAGGGACGCACTGAAATACTTAACGGAAAACGGTGCACTTGTACAGTGGCCGATCATTAAAGAAACTGAGGATGCGTAGTGTCCATGCTGGTTCAAACACAACAATTGGATAAGGCAGAATAGTTTCACTTTCAGAGCCACAATGGAGCCAGTTTCAGCGCTCCTCGCTGCGCGGAAGGGAGGGCGTGCGGCTCACCGATTGGGGTAAAGTCATGTTGAACGATTTATATCACAACCTACGTGCTTCAAGAAAGTCCATTCTGTTCCAATCGCCAGTAGAAAGGCGTGGCTGCCCAAAATCTTCGACGAATAGTGAAAAAATGGGAGGGCACGAGCGAGCTGCGTGATGTCCTCTCCGAAGGTAGGCTGCAGCGTGTGTTTATTGATGAGATGAAAGAAGATGGAAGTGAGAAATGAAACAAAGTAAGGGACAATATTAATAAACTCAGTCCTTGCCTGGGGAAAAGCTGTGAAGCGCTGTAGCCACTGGAGAAGAAAGACCCTTAAAGCAGCAGGTAAGAAATAGGGAGAGGGAAGGGAGGGGGAGGGAGGGTACTTATACCTACTATTTATGTTAGGCTATTTATAAGAGTAATAGCAGTCGTTCCCTAGATATGTGGTGAAAAAAAACTTAAGCATGAAGCATGAACTAATAGCTCAAACGCAAGACTTGTTCAGCAATATGTTATGCATAAACCAGCCGTGAAGAAAACTTCGCGAAATTACGTTTAGTTGTGAAAGAATTGGCACTCTGGATTATGTGAGTTCTCTCTAAACATCTAATGTTTGTCTGGAATGGAATTAAACAAAAAAGATTATGAAGTGACGTCTCTCGACCATATAATTCCTTGCTTGATCACCCATTTTCTATAGTTTAACACTTGTCAGGCTATCGAGACTTTGTCTGTAGTTTTAATATTATTTCAGTAGGCTGTGTGTTTTGATATTTTGCGAAGTGTTAAACGTACCACTGAACCATGACACGAAAAGCTCAATACGACTCAACGGAGCCGCTATAGGGACTTCCCTATACGACCAAAATATTTGATAGAATAACACCCGCTCTAACCGCGAGTTAAGTGTCAAGAATGATATCGCTACAAGACCTATATGATCTGTTTCACTACAGACGAGATAGAAATGATTATTCAAACATTTCAGCCGCTTATCTGGAGTCCTTTCCGGGCTATTGCTAATATTTTATTGACCCCGGTAGTTTTGCGCTAGCCTCTGGTTTCGGGCTCTCTGAGGCAAACATAATTGTTACCAATATTGTTGTTTTGTGTAGACGCTGTCGGACAAATTCTATACGAAAGTAGCCTATGGAGTTTTGTAGGGAGTGTATCTGGCGCTTTACCATGTCCGTTATTTGTCTTCATTGAATTAGGATACGCAGCCTAAACGAAGTGACCGAAATATTAGTCCTCGTACCAAGAAACCGAAATTTAGATAAATGCCCATCTTGTTCTGTATTCTAATGCTTGTACTTACTGAATGACCTCTTTTTGACTCCGTGTTGTGAAGTGCCAGCTTGTTGCCTATAACGCACGCGTTTGTAGGCTAAGCAAACAATAAATCACTCGGCCATTTTAACACAAAAAAACTTAATATGGCAAAGCAGAGAGGAGCGCTTCTTCAATATTTTGGAGGTTACGGGGCCTTCGAGCAGCGTCCGATCACAGCGCTGATTGTATTGTTATCTCAGTGTAGTTCGAGACGGCGGGTATGAGAACCATGCAGTGGAAAAACACACCAGACACATTTTTCATTAATTTATCATATGCCCTCTGTTTCCCGACGCTGTATTATAAAATGTCTGGCTTATATAATCTGTGTATTTATAGCTAATGCCATGAAAAGGTTGTCAGTTATGTTGGGAGATTCTATCCGATGTTGCCTACTTTGATTATTGGGATGTTTTATCTGAGCTGAAAGATGAAAAACCCTGTTGCAAACACAATGCAATAATCTTATTTTTAATACAAATGTTAGCAATGTGTAGGCTATGTGTGTTTGCTTTTTTATTATTTGAATTTGCTGACCGCCAGTCTCTCAGACGGTCAATGCGGCCTTGGAAGTTTGACTGAACCCCTTTACTTATTGATACAAAAACACAACTATTGAAATAGCCTACTTAATTCAACGTTAAGGATTTTTTTTTTAAAGTAAAGTGCTGGTGTATATGGAATAGAGGCAGATTGTATTATTAAAAAAAGAGGTTTGCACGTGTAAATCATGGCCTCTGTTCTATTAACCCTGTGTGCTGCTCTAGATTCGTTGCTAGCTTAGAAGTGTTAGCAAGTCGTCAGTCTCCTAAACCTGTGGATGTCTGAATAACATTTTTTTTCTTTAACCTACTTCAATCAATGTTAAATGTCGGCAGTTTCACGATGAAAACTTTCATCTCTATCTTTGCATCTGATTCAGAAGAGGGTGATGTATAGGCTAGTTGTGCATTAACGTAAGGCAAACAAACTATAAATCATCATAAAATATTATAGCGTTCTTTTTGCTTCTAATATTATTGCAAGTGCATACCTATGTTAGAAACAATATTTCTTTCACAAATTTATTTTTTTCCCACTGTACTTTTTTTTCCCCTTTAGCTGCTACCGGCCTCATTTTCATGGTTTTGTAAAATTCTTCGTGTCTTTGCAGGTAGGGCAACGTCGAGGAAATTAACTCTTTCTATATCATGTCGAATTAGGTTTTTATTTTAGTCAGCTCATTTTGTAGAAATGCAAGTTATATAGGCTATTACTTTATGAATCAAGCGTTCCCCCCACGTGTTCAAGACTGCTCTGCTTAAGCTACACGTTGTTCTTTATTGTGCACCTGTTTAATTCAGTTGAAATCCGTTTTTAATCGCGTGTGTGTATTAATGTTTTTCAATGCTTCATGGATGATTTGGGCAGTGGGGATGGGGAGGAGGGCCTTGCCTGCGTGCAGGTCGTTTGTCTGTCAGCTTTACCGAGTTTTAAGTTGCTGTATGCGTGAAAAATACCTTGAGATGTATGTTTTACGTTAGTATACGATAGTGTATACAAAAACTTCAAAATAAACTTGCAAATACACTGTAAGTCCCAGCAGTCGCACTATAGATATAGCAATGCTCCTCCTGGAATTAATTTTCATGTGTTAATGCACCATATAAACGAGATTTTTCTTATTACTTTTCTGTAATGAGGCTATAGCAGCTCAGTTATGTGATGCTTGGAAACGTGTGACACTTTTGTCTGTAAAGATGTGCCTTTTAAGGGGGTATGTACCTGGATGTACATGTGAGAGTTTATTCTTAAGTGGCTTTATGTTTCTTATTTAAACAATAATGTATTGTTGATAAGTTGTATCATATAACTAAACATTAACTAAGAGCACTGCTTTCCCAAACATGAATTATCAATATGTAAGCCTGTATTTTTATATGGCTTATTTGTCTGCTCTAAATATGACTGTGTTTATTAGTGCGATTATTGATCTGAGGGGCATATTGATTGTTGCTTATATATAATGATAAACTTATTGAGTTTAATCATTATGGTGGCAATATAAGAGGTCGTGATCATGATTTATGTTTTTAAACATATTATTTTACCTTCACACTCCTTGACCTTTGATCAGTTTTTGTGGATGTTTAATGATACAGCAAAGTGGTTTAATTTTTGTGTGTGATTATTGATTTGTTTATTTAGCCTGTCATAGATGCCGTATTAATACTTGTAGACTTAGAGTTAGTGGCAACTAATATAACCCTATTCTTAATGTTCACTAAAGTTTTTAAAAAATGTTAAACATTCTTTTGTCTATTTTTGGGGAGATTGAAATGATAAATTTGACCAAAAGACAACAAATAAATCATGATCTTAGGAATATTGGGATTCGTAGATCAAAAGAAGGCATTGTGTGCTGTTTATTTTGGAAACTTCAAACCCTCTTAGTGCTTCAAACATAATGCTCACATGCCACAGCCGAGACCAAGAGTTTGTCAGTTGGCTTGCAATTGATTATTTGACAGAATGACGCATTAAAAATATGCAAAATTGCAATTAAAGAATTGCAGGTGTACAAAATTTCAATGAAATTGTAAGGTGATTGATCACAGTGGGTAGGGC